CCCCCCCCCCCGCGCCATCTGTAACATATGTAATATGTATGTAAACAGTTGTGGTGCATTAATGAAGATTAGCCTATTTGTTAACTTGTGTTGCGCTAAGGCGGCCCATTCATTTTGACAAATTCAACACAATGCGTGTTTGAAGCACCTTTATAATCCAGGGCATTACAACCCACAGAGTTTTCACATCTGTGCATTGTGGGGCATTATATATTTGTGATGGGGCGTCATTCAGAAAGGATGGCAGCACAGCTCACATACACCTGTATAAAAAAATGCACTGCGGTAAAGAGCTTTACAGCACATTACCGCAATGCATAGATGTGATTTCGAACTTAAAGCAACACTAAACTCAGGAGTTAAATCTTCAAAATGCATTCAAGTACGTTATCTATTTAAATTTTTTTAGCTTACTTGTGTATCACTCAGCTGTAGGTCCCCCAAATCATCTCTGAATTAGGGCTGACACTGTCCTTCCCATGCTACGCTCGCTGCCGTGATGGACTACAATCTCAATACAAATTAGTAATCTAAACATGTAGTCCATCACTAGAGCGAGCTTGGGAGCAATGACTACTTTGCAACATAGCTATCTTGCATACATCCTAGCTATCATCTGATGCCCATATCAAAGTCAAACAGAGATAAACACATAACATTATCTTTAATTAGAAGCCAGTGAACACACCAGTATGTTTTTGAACTGTGGTTATAAAAAAATAAATTAAAAAAAACACTGGGTGAAACAGTATAGATACTCTGTCTATAGTGAGAAATAAACTCAGGACAATGGGTTGTTAGTATGTACATGCTTGTATGTTCATACAAATAAAGAGCAAATGATCTTACTAACAAATATAGACACACAAAAAAACAACCAATTTTAAGTACTGTACAGCATCCAAAATGGCCAATAGCTGGGATATAAAGTAAAACCTTGGTGCCAGAGGGCTCGCATGAGCCAGAAGAGTAAAGCAGTTCAAGCTGAATTAGCCTCAGACACCTTCTCCTTCTATATCATAATGCTTGCAAATATGTGAGCTAAGAGTTGCCTTGGGACACATCGCTAACAGATGCAGACTTCATAGCCCACAGTTTTGATCATCGTGTCTGGGCGAGGCAATCCTACAATCTTTACAGCACACTTAATTTTGTCGGGTCTGTAGCTTAAGGGCAACTGAATTCTTTCATGAGTAATTTTAATGTTTACTTGTTCCTCGGAGTTGGCTTGAATACTAAGTTTTCATAGGCCAAATTTGTTTTATGAGCATGTTAATGCACGGATGGTTCCCATTGTAAATCTAAAAGCATGAATTCTACCAAAAGTTACATTTTTTAAATAAACAGAACACAGAGTGGCTGGGAATATAGTCAATGCCTGCCGTCTCCTACAGTCATTACTGGCTCCCCATTAAATTTTGCCTTATTTACAAGTCCTCCCCCCTACTTTAAAATTCTGCTCCATCCCATTACAAATGAGTCATGTATCCACAGATCAGGATGTACTATGGTACAACACATATTCAAGACATTTACAAAAATGGTCTTAAAGATAAACCACAAGCAGCAGCTCTTTGCTCACCAATACACCCTTAGGGCCTGTTCACACCATCCAGCGCATTCATGTCACAGTTACGTGACATGAACACACTGGATCAAATAATCAAAGCCTCTACACGTTCTGGGGCAGGAGGAAGTGTGGTAGTGCTATTCATTTCAATGGCACCACAAACCCCCCTTCTGCCCGCAGTGCGATCTCCCGCACTGGAACACGTGGTACAGCAATGCCCTGCATTCCAGTGCGGTGCGATCACACACAAAAAAATCACACTAGCACTATTTTTTGCAATCGCACCTGACTGGAATGCAGGTCATTGCTGTGACATGCGTTCCGGTGCCGGCAATCATGGGGAGGCTTGGATTATGCAATTCCATGCGCTCATTTAACGAACTGTGACATGAACGCACTGGATGGTGTGAACGGGCCCGTAATGTGCGCCGACTGGTGTTTTTCTGCACTTGACCACCACCAGCTACTACAAGGGCACATTGAAAACAATCATTTTTCTACATGCTCTGTTCACTACAAAATACTGCTTAGTGGGATCCAGTGTGTTGCAAAAAAATGCAGACATGCTGCATTTTTCTGCATTGCACTACAGGTCAACCAACGTTACTGTCCATCTCTGCACCAAAGATAAGCTATGGTGCATAGAAAGGAATAAACTGTCACTCTAAAAGTTCAATAAATTTAAAAGAAAAAAAGGTAAACAGTGTCTTGTGTTATAACCTAAGGCACCGCCCCCCACAATGGACACCAGCCTGCACACTACAACAGCTTGTTTCAGCATTCAGGCTGGTGTAAAGAAGCCCTAAATGTTTTCAGTATCTGAAATTAACTTGGTATTAGCATCTTCCAGTGTAAAGCAGAGCTCAGACTTGTGAAGGAAAAGCAGCCAATCAGTTATTCTGCAGTGCAAGGAGCATGATGATAGGAGGGACTGGAGTGACAGAGAAACAATCTCAATAATCTGTGGTTTCTACTTTCACTGTCTGGTCACAAAAAGGGAGACCTGTGCTACAGAATGGCAGCAGAGAAAATTTAGGCCTGCCCTGCCAGACAGTATTCCATGATGTGGAAGAGCTGTGTAGTTCAGAAATGTAAGGAATGAAATAGAACTCCTTTGGCAGGATAACAGCTGCCATATATGTATTTAATCTGTATATTTAGCTACCCTGTTTCCCCGAAAATAGGACCTACCCCGAAAATAAGACCTAGTTGTGACCATTCCCAGGGCCGGTGGTGGCATAAGGAGGAACTTGAAGAGCCGGTGCCAACTAAGCCAGCGCTAGAGGAAGCAAGGTGGCACAGGAGGGAGCAGAGCCACATAAGCCGATGCCTCCTCTATAGCGCCGGCTCCTGTCACAGTTGGAGTGATACCAAATGCACTTCGCCTGTGAGGAATCGATAGTGAAAGTGCACTTCGCTCATTCTGGCCAGCGATTGGTTAGCAAATTGCTCTTGGAAAGGTACGGTACCCCGGATTGCCCTGAATACATATAGACTGTTGTACATGAATAAGTGTGTATTGTTGTACATAAAAAAAAATATAAAAAAAATAAGACCTACCCCGAAAATAAGACCTAGTGTGTTTTTTTGAGCCAAAAAATTATAAGACAGTGTCTTATTTTCGGGGAAACACGGTATATTGTATACTTTCATTATACACAGTAAGCGCAATGATTGATCTTTGTTTCAGTAGCACAACAACCATTTTCTGCGTTTGTGGAAGCTATACTTGAACACAAATCAGGATTACAAAAATGATTCAGTTTGTCCACAGCAACTAAACATCTAGTCTGACAAATGAAGCAAAATATTGGGTTGTAGTGATTATCTTTTGTTTCTGTTTCCCTCACTCTATTTTGGTAAATCTGGGCCAGAGAATCAGCTCATTGCAGTGTGCAATGATTATGAAAGGTACA